ATACTAGATTTGGAAACTTTGACCGCGAAATTGAAGGTCTTCCCGAAAGAATTTTTGCATGAAATTTTGTGGGGAGATTCATCTCGAAGAGATCTTCCCAATGATGTAAACGATTTTTCAACCGGAGCACATTTTTCGGCGGCCGGCGGCCGGTGGAGAAGAAGGAGGTTTTCCAATTTTTTCAGTCGGAACTCCGCTTGACTTTCTGAACGGATCCCACAGACGGTGCCAATGAAGTGAATAGATTTCACCCGAGCTCCTTCAACTCGACCGGCCTCCGTACCTGCAAGAACCGAACGCCGGGGGTGGCCCCGGCGTCGGGCCTCCGATGCCTAAGTCAGTGCTCAGATCGAGAGAGAGAGAGAGAGAGAGAGAGAGAGAGAGAGAGAGAGAGAGAGAGAGAGAGAGAGAGAGAGAGAGAGAGAGAAAGAGAGAGAGAGTGTGTGTGTAGTGATGAATTAAAGAGGGAATGAGAGAATGTGATACGTTAGCCCCCTTTTATAGGGGGAGTGTACCTTTTTGGGCTCAAGTTGGGCTTGGCCCATATCGTTATTCGATGTTTTAGTGGGCTTATCCTCCAATATGCATTCGTTTAATCCATTAATCCGGTCTAGCATAATATTCTATATCAATACCCATTAAATTTCTTACATATGGTAATTTACTTTAGGCATTAATATAAATAAATAAGGTCTTTTAGGTAGAGACATAATTATTTTTACTTGTATGGTAAAATTACAATTAATTTAAACAATAATGCTACTTGTACCCTTGGTGTACCACTTAGTTTACATCCAAGGGGTACATGTACCCACTTACCCTTAATGAACAATTTATTAAATTGTTCATTAAGGGTAAATGGGTACATGTACCCCTTGGATGTAAACTAAGTGGTACACCAAGGGTACAAGTAGCATTGTCCTAATTTAAAATCACATAGCATACATAAAAATTTCCCAATATTACATCATTATATATGCAAATATTTTGCCCACAGTTCGGCCATGATTAATTTTCTCTATTAGATTTACAGGGGTAAGCAAACCGAACCGAACCAAACTTCTGTGCAATTCGATTATTCCTTCTATTGTTGTGAGATCGGTTAAGAAATCTTAAATATTCGGTTTTTGGTTTTTTCGGTGTGGTTAAATTTTTGATCGAATTCCACGGATGCCCACCACTAATTAGATATAAAATAGTTCATATAGGTCTGCGTAACTAGAGCGCTTTAATAACATCTTTATATGGTCATTATCATCGTAACTTCTTCCACTTTATTTTTTATTTTTTTTTCCAAAATCAACCAAATATTATAAAAACTCAAAGATAGTCTTACAATCGCGGACTCCCCTTAGCCCAAAACACATAACTTGAGAACCAAGTTAAGGAATAACCGGATCAGTAACATCACTGTCCGTTAATCGCCAAAGAAGCTAAGATACCACTATTACTACATTCACCTGGGTCAAAAACAAATACACAATTTCCCCCATTTTCACATAACCACCATATATCAAAGCAAATGCTCTTTAACTTGGTCTCACAAATCAGTTCCTTGCTCTTTAACTTCTTCCACTTGAGGGACCAAAAACGACCACTAATAACAGAATTTTGTTGAAGCAGGAAAGAGAGATAGGAATTTGACTCAGAACCTATCAGAAATCCTAACCAGGTGCCCTATCACATCCTCCAGCCGGCAAAAGTGAGTCTGAAATTCCTCATGAACCTCAGCGTGCTGATTTCTTTCCCACTCCGAAAGCCCGTCTACCATTACCCTCAGCCCGTCCTGCAGCAAACCCACCCCTTTGCTTATCCCATCCCGAATTTTCCTTTTCCTGCTCTCCTCCCTCCACTCCTCAACATCCATCGCATCACAAACCATAGCTCCCACTCTATTTCTCACTTTTTCTCTCAGCACCAAACCTTCTCCAACAAGCTGCTCTGGAGTCGCCTGGCACGCCGCCACATCCTTTTCAAGAACCACTTTCAACTCCGACATGAACCGCTCTTCATCCGCCTCCTTCCCTGAATCCAGATCGAATGAGAGGGCCGCATCATGTGGGACAAACCTCCACAACTGATTGCACGATGTTCGAGCGGCAAAATATCCAAATGCAGAGACTGACAGGTGGACCAATGCCCAGTGGCGCTCGCGCAACAGCATGTGGTACAGCTCCCACGCAGCCGAGCTCCTGGCACAGTCATCGCCGTCTGGTAGGTCCGCGTGCCCGAGGCCGGCCATGAAATGGGATAGATTAGGTTTGCACATCAAGAGGTGGCTGTCTGATTGGGTGGCTGGACTCGAGATGAAGAGCTTCTGGAGCTCCACGATGACTTTATCCATCTCATCGGACGAGTATAAATGCTTCAGGTTGGAAATGATGCCCAGAAGCTCCCCGAGAAGCATCCTGTACTGGTTTTTGCTTGCATTGTCAGGGGAAGTTTTGTACTTGTGAATCATGGAAACTAGGAACTTTAGAGTCTTCATGTCCACATCCGATAGGCTGACTTGGCTACTCATGCAAAATAAAGAAAGTCGAGAAAAAAGCAGGAACGCATTAGAGGAAATGATGACAGTTTGTCCTTGAAGATCATTAAGAAGTGTGTAATGTTTCATTCTGTGGACGATGAATACTTACAGAGACTGCAATGCGGCACATAGAGCAAAGACAGGAGCCCCATAGACGCTAGAATTTCTTTCACCAAGTGACAACTCAGCAAAGCTCTCCAAGAAGTCGTAATACTCGGTGATTATTCTTTGTTTAGCAATACTTCTTTTCTTCTCTGAAAGGAAATTTAGGGGGAAGCCCTCCATGAGTAGGGCTATCTGCATATTCAAAGCATTCTCAGATCTGCCACCATCAAATATGCTATGATAAACTCGATCGACCATGAACTCTGGTCCATGAGATACGACAGTACACATCAGTCTAGCAGTATTCCGAAGAGCACTTTGAGGAAACAACACCGATTCTCCGGATGTCAGCATCAGAAGTGCACAAAGTTTATCGACAATATCGTTCACCAAATACATCTCGGCATGTCTAAGAATAAAGCACCAAAGTTCAGTGATGATGTCCCAACAAAGAAAGTGGGGGTGGAAAAGATTTTCTATCAGAAATGATTCCACTTCATTCCATGCCACACTCAAGGAAGCCACGATGAGGAAGGTCTTCATTGCATGAAGTACAGCACAAAACATGGGATGGTATGCGACTTCATTGGTCTGGTTAGGACCAGAAGCCATTGGAATCTGCAAAACAAGAGTAGCGCAATATACATCTTCATCTACAAGTATATCCAGAAGCCATCCGAGCTTTTGAGCGATGAGGAGTATGGTATCATCCTCTAGATCAGGCGCACATATCAGAAGTCTAAGAAACAAAGCAACTCGGCCCAGGGCAATCATCTTTTCCTTGTTCAGTGAATCAGAACTTAGGCAAAATATCACATCTAATGAATTGTCCCTGTTTTTATTGCCCTCTGCCTCGGAAGTCATTTCACCACCGCTGTCATTGCCCTTCCTAAACAACCAATCCAAAATCTGGCACTTGTTTTCTTGCTTCACCTGAGATGAGTTTAGAAGAGAGTTGATTAGGTGCAAGGATGTCGGCTCCAAAGTTTCTGCCAAGACGTCACTAGCAGATCTCAAATGCTCCATTGTGCTGAGTGAGATTTTGAAGGATGATATCATAACAACAAAGAGAGCTATGTCTCTGTACAAGCAGGTGGATTGTGTTTGATACTGTGAAATAATCCTTACGGCATTGATCAAATAAAATTTAATTGGAAGGAAAATTCTTTTGGCTTCTGCCACAGGTACATTATCCTTGACAGAAGACAACCAAGTCTCAGCGGCACGTCTCAGAGACTCACTAGCTAGAGAAATTAGGTTCATAATAACATCTCTGATGTTCACCTTTGTCGCTAGAGCACCCTTTCCAAACTGTAGCAATGACACTACACCTTTCCATGACAAATTCAGCACACTCACGAGACTGCCACCATCGTTAGCCGCAACAGTCCCCATTTCACATAATTTTTCAATCGTGCAATTGGTTACTCGGATGACATGGTCTACTCGTTCCAACTCTCTGCAGTGTCCAGTTTTAGCATCATCAGAATTTTCATGAAAGATATCCCACTTCACACCACTGCAATATACCTTGCATAACCGAGTGACTGCATCAAGGGCGAACTGAGCTGCTTTCAGTAACTCTGAGCCTAATGTGTGAATCCTCTGCATGGATAACATAGGAGTAAAATCGAACAATAAAGTTTATATCAAGATGTGCAGTCTAAGAGAATAAAAAATGCAACAAATGTGGTTATATTTTGACAGATCTGGTTGCAGTATGTAAATCATAAAAGAATGATGAAAGAAGGTGAGAGCATTGATCCGCCGATGTCAGATAGTCCTTTCCTCAGCCCACACACAGCATAAGATAGCCAATATTTGGATAGTAATATTACCTAATGATGTTACATTTCAGATGAAATGAGAAATTGTCCCAAACAGCAGCAAAGAACACTGCTTGACAAACTTGAAAACCCAAGAAGCAAATAAAATAAAGCGAGAAACGTGGAGTAATCAATATAATGTCTTTGACGTAAACAAAAGGTTACTGGCCAAATTCTGACTATTAGTTGACAAATGAAACACCTATTATTTGATTCATCAACAGAGCAACTTTAAAGGAGCAAACCTGAGATTTCGAGAAAGCTTCTAGAGAAATGAAGTTACTGGATGTCACTATTACGACTGTACATATATTTCAACAAATGCAGTTGATAAATGATAGACAGATTGATATATTTTTTCCTAGAAAAACATTTATTAAAGTTTACAATTGACAATATATATATGTGTGTGTATGTATGTATATGTATGTATGTAGTGTATATATATATCTATAATGCAAGTTTGTTTACCTTTATTTCAGATACCAAATCTGTCATCAGAGAGAACTGTTCTGAAATGAAATTCTCTAGGCCGACAACCAACTCCTCATTAAAAGAAACAGTGTATCTTGCTAAAGCTGAATAACTAGCAACCGTGTAGTTTAGCAAATCCAACACCAACTGAAGAGGTTGAAACATGTGAAAGAGCAGTTGAAATAATGAGACAGTATTTCATTTATTCAATGAACTACAAAAAAATGCATTCAATTTAAAGCACACAGAAAAATATGTTGAAACAATAAATAAGGGATAAAATAATAGTGCTTGTAAATTGTAAACCTCAAGAAAACTCTAAAAGATAATTCAAGAAAAATTGTTAAGAAACTATAAATGTGAAATCCCCTAACAACACATCAAGGAACCAAAACAAGAACCACTTGGAACTTTGAACACTACTCTATACATAAATCATGTACTTTTAGTTATGTAAGTAGGTGCTACAGACAAGTCGGACAGTGGCATTGTTTGTAGATATATTACGACATAGATAAAAAATCAAATGTTAATTCCAGATCCAGACTGCAAACAGTAGTCACACAGCATTGTCATTCAAGTACGCTGTTACAAGTGACAGCGATAAGGGTAACAGCGCAGGTTTAATATCTGAGTCCGATCCTGGAATATCAGAATTTACTAAATGGAACACACAGTACCTACAGATCTGGGCAATTGCTAAAGCAGATATTGATATTAGCCAACCCAGCAGAGTGCAATTTATATATATTTACATAAATTTGAACAATTTTCTGAATTTATTAGTAGAAGCCAGTAAAAACGTCGATACAGAATAACATAACATTCTATTCTAGCTGTAATCCATGAAAAGAAAGATAATAATAAGTTACGTTCAACATGGCTTATTTACTTGCAACAACTGAGAAAATTTTGTAAGCATCATCAAGAGCAAAAAACTACGTATAGCAATATAGCATACACTCAAAGATCTTGAAAATGAGATAAATGGAGTGCTTATTCTCTAGCGAAAGAATAAACATAGACTTGGAATACAAGATAAATTTTCAGACTTGTACAACACTATAATAAGATGATACCAAATCACAAAAATTATTACCTGATAAAAGAAACTACTGTGCTCTTCTTCTGGAGAATCTTCCATTGACATTAGAGTCATTTTCATATGCTTTCTGCTCCACATGTTTGCCTAAGAATGACAACCATGATTTTGTTGCATCATTAGTGATTCAAAACGACAAAAACTTGCAGAGAAAATTCCAGAATACTATTGTAAATAGAAAACAAAATCTTACTTTTGTTCCTAATGCAAGAAATTGCACTAGACATCCCGATATGTCTGAATCCAAGTACTTTGCTGCCACATCCAATATAGCTTTATTCAACATGCATTGGGATATATCTAAACAAGTAAACTCTTCCCAGAGTATCTAAATTGGTTAAGGCGAATATTGGGAAAAGGTTTAATGGACAATTACATGGTTAATTGATTCATTCATTGCCATTAACTCAAAATTCATCATAGAAGGCTTTAGTAGAGATGAAACAAGGTATTGTAAATCACAAATGCATAATTAGGAGCCTATTACCATCCAGAGGTAACATGAAGGTGGTTCTCCAAATAACGCAGTTGGTATTTAACAGTTTATTTCATGTATGGTCCTCCTTAACATGCCCCCTGATTACTAGACACGAAAATCTTAATTATTCATTGACATCAAGTAGATTTTTCAACAAATGCAGAAAATATTATTCTGGAAAAGAACATCTGAGACAGGCCGGATACAATAATGTTTTAGTCACTTCACAATTTTTAATGCTAGAGCAAAATCATTCAACAGAAACTCGAGTGAAGAATTCCACACAGAGACTTACAAATTCTAACATTAGTAGAACACAATATTAACATAAACTTTTCTCCAGGCAACTAAAAAAATTATTTTCTATTCCTCACAGCAAACAGATAAGTAAACCGACACAGAATTAATAAACATAGCAGATGGTTTGGAAGTATAATATAAGGAACATGACTGAAATTGGTTTGTCTCAGCAAATCAGGATACTGCTAAGCATTCAAAAAGAGAGTTCACTGCAGACTTCTCCCTTACACCCGATTCCTCCAATTCCTTGAGCAGTTTTACCCGATTTTCAACCACCTGGAAATTTATGCAAATCTCAAACATTATAAAGTTCTGAAAACCTAAATAAAAATAATTAAAATCACAGGCAGAAAAACAACTTAATCGACTATCACAATAACCCGTAGACAACACCAATTCAGCCATTTCATTCCGGAAACATATCCGTTGAATAAAGTAAGCTAATACAACAAGAGAACAACCAAACAATCAAGTCAAGACCAAACTATTTCAAACTAACTCAAATATCGCTCTACAGTGAATAGTGACATAAATTCCAAAATTAAAACATCAGAACCTAAGAATCAAGCAACATTATCAACATTCAATATCAAGAGGACGAATCGCAAAGCAAAACAGAAAGCGGGAAGGAATTTCGTCCAGTAAAATGCCAAAAAAAAAAAAAAAAACGAAAAGATAAAGGTAACGGAGCATAATTCAACCGAGAACTAATAAGAAGCTTGCCTCGGAAGCTTTTATAGCTTCAAACAAAGTCAGCAATTCTTTGTCTGGGCTAGAGTTCATCTCTCTCTCTCTCTCTCTCTCTCTCTCTCTCTCTCTCTCGTGCCAGTACTTGTATCAGTAATTGCAGGTTACGCTCTTTGCAAAGTTCTTTTTCCCGCCATTTCGATTATGAGAACAGCGTCACTTGATAAAGTGGGGAAGTGTCAATTTACGAACCCTCACGGCTGCGACGCGGCCTATTGACGGGTGGTGCGTCATATCAATCTTGGTTAGACAAATTCACTCACAAGTAACACGGCCACAGGTCACCCGGCCGGCGCGGCCGACTCGTCCCAGAACTGGCACGAACTCGGCCAGTCACACCCATGGTCAACTAGTTTGGGCCCGTTCTCGGACTAAAATCGGGTCAGTTCAAGCTCGAGTATTTGAAACATTTCAACTGACGGACCAAGTCGGACCGGGCCAGTCCAGAAAGTGAACGACCAACTTTTCTTTCAATTTTCTTTTAGGACTAGTACCGATTCCATGTCGGACCCGGCCCGGCCCGCCTGGTCAGTGTCAACCATTTCGAACTTGGAGACCTGTCTAGGCCCAGCCCGGGATTTGGCCATGTCGAATCACAACTCAAATTTCAATAAAATGTAATTTAATTTAAACCCTTTTTAATATTATAAATATTGATATGGTACTTAGAACAATTATAAGGTAAATACACAGGGGATAGCTCAGTGTTATTGGGGTGAAGCTCGGAGGACGGTAGTCGATCTACTAAGAGCAGGGACGTCGAGGTGAGAAGACCTGCGAAGCCAGGATTCTTGGACGAGATATGCTTGCAGAGAGACGGCTGAAGGAGGGATTCTATGCGACTTAGAGCCCTATCGTGAGGGGACTCCTAACTATATAAAGGTCAATTCTTTCATTATCAAATATGAGAACACACACATTTTACTAATACTCTACCGTTTCTCTTGAAAACCCTACTGACTTGAGCGTCGGAGGGTTCACGTCGGGACCACCCCTGGCGTGTTTTGAAAGTACCGACGGTCGAGAATTAATCCGGTTCGGAGAGGAGCGGTCGGAGCGGTTTTGAAATTTTTGACGTAACAAATTGGTGTCGTCTGTGGGAACAGATTCAGCTTCTACTCAGAATACGCGGCTGATTTGATCTATAAAAATTTCACAGAGATCTATTTTTTTGGAAGCGATGGCGGATAACCCGAAGAAGAATTTATCAAAGGAAATGGATGAGGCTTGGGTTTAGAGGGCGTTTAGGGCGCGGCCGCCACCGGGGTGGTTGCAGTCCATGATCATACCGAAGGAGAAACTACATGCGCCTAAGGCGACCTTAACTCCAACGCCAAAAATCCAGGGGTAGTTGACGGACAAAACGCATGGGAGTAAGAGTGATAAATGTGTAGAAGTCGCTACGGGCAGCATGAAGCGACACGGAGCTGGCCCAATTAGTCCCGTGAATAATCAGCAGGTAGTTGTGGCAGGGGAAGCGATCAACAAGGGAACCCTCCGGCGGCGGCAGACCAAACCATACATACGACAAGAGCGGAACTCGATAGAATAATAGCCAAAGCGATAGGGCGAGCACAGGAAGTTAACTGGAGGGCCGAGTCGCTTAAGCAGCCCGTGCCCCAACAGTTGTCTATACACCCTCATCAGACGCAACAGACTCATCAACGCGAGAGGGGGGACAAAGATGTCGATAGATCAGCTACGTCTCGTCCTGTGGAGATGGCACAACATGAGAGGTTGACTCTAGAGAGGCTGGCGGAGCAGATGCGCGAGCTGCAGGACCGGGTACAGGGAAAGAAGGTAGCAGTATCCCGAGGACATCCTTTTGCAGAGGAGATACTTGGAGGAGACTTGCCGAGCAACTTTAGAGAGATGATCCTATCTTATGATGGGTCAGCAGATCCTGCTCGGCACTTGGTGTCATTTGATAATATAGCAGTCTTGCATCGACATAGCGATGCAGTCAGCTGTCGGGCTTTCTTGACCACTTTGAAAGGCTCAGCACATGATTGGTTCCACCAGCTACCGCCCTGTTCTATTGATATTTTTGAGCAGTTCAGCACGCTATTTTTGAATCAATTTGCGAGTGCGAGGGAGCACGAGAAGACGTATTTGTCATTAATCAATATGCAACCAAAGGAGGGCGGGCGAGACCTTACGACAATACTGTTAGTGTTATATACTGAAATCTTGGCTTTGGATGGTATATAATACACTTTTACCCTTTATGAATGAGAAACATGTTAGATTAAACAAGTTCTACGTTCTGTTGTTTTGCATTAGATAGTGTGGGTCGTCATCGGGTGAACCGAAGATCATACTATCAGCTGCTCACGAAACAA